ATGATTGATAGATAGATGATAGATAGATAGATAGATGATAGATGATAGATAAAGTAGATAGATGATAGATAGATAGATAGATAGATGATAGATGATTGATGATTGATAGATAATAGATAGATGATTGATGATAATATTCTATCAATTCTATTTCTAGAGAGCCCTGAGTAAGAAAACTATGAAACATTACACTAAATGAAATAAACTAATCCCAAAGTACAAGTACCATATGGTTTCACAATTATGAGATACCTAGGTGGTTTTCAGGGGCTAGAAAGAGAGAGCTACTGGACCTTCCTTGTTTCCATTATTTTGTGATGACACTATCTGCCTCCTGCAGTGATGAAGATTAAATGAAATTAAAGATGAAGATCATCCAGAATAGGAACTGACTTATGGTAAAAATTCAGTATTAGCTATGATAAGGAGAAAGAGGAAGAGGAGGACACTTCTTTCCCTCTAAACTGGGTTTTCCACCCTTCATTTTATTCTAACTTTCATTAACCACTCCTGAGAGCTCCTTAGGAAAGAACCAGGCCAGTAATGTGCTAGAGGCTGCTGGTGCTGGCTGATGAGGATGGGTAATCCCAAGGTTCCAACTCAGCACTTAGCAATATCATGATGCTAATTCAAAATCAGCCATGGGTCTACACCATAGAAACTGGCTCAAACTCAAACTTGTGCTTTTATTACTCATCTCCTCACCCTACCCAAATGCAGATGTTAGACATTTACAAGTTTAACAGTGGAAAAAAATATCAACAATATGACACTGTCAGTCTCTCTGACTCTCTCTCCTCTCTCTTCTCATTCCCTTTCTTCCCTCCTTACATCTTTTCTTCTCTCCCCCCCCACTCTCGCTCTCTTACCTAATTTGTTTCTTTTTTAATTTATGCCTTCAGAAATCTTAATAGAGCTAAAAGACCTTCCACACTGCACAGGAAACTGTTCTCATAAACTTGGCCTTCCCTATCAATGTCAAATCACCAAGCAAATCTCACCCCAGATTTTGAAGATAAATTGTCACTGAAAAATGGAAGTCAAAGTTAGGAACAGAAGAAACCAGCTTCAGATGCCAAATCAAAGCCACAGTCAGAAGCCACAGCACAATTCAGTATCTGAGTGTAGGATAGGACCGATGTAAATGTACATACATACACACATACAGGCATATGTACACATGCATGCATGCATACATGTCTGCAGACATACATACATACATCAGCAACCTAAGAGGTGATTTCACTCCCCAGACTCAGGTTCCAAGCTGAACAAGGGCTCAGCCTTACTGGCTGTAAGAAACACAGGCATCACCATCAAAATTGTGGAACTCAAATGATGTCAACAAGTGTCATTATTCAACATGGAGCGCTGAAGAATCCTGAGCCCATTTCAACTGCCGCTAGTACCAGCCCAGAATGTGGCCCCTGCTTACTAAGCTCAGACCTCTTCTAAGGCACAGCATGGGATCTTGCCACACACAGCACAGTGAGAGCTCAACTGCCGCACACCTGAGTCCCTTCAAGAATGGCATCTTCTACTTCAGTTTTGTTCAGGTCCAAACAGGAGGCTACAATGGCAAATAAGTAGTCATGCCGCCCATCCAGACGCGCCCGCTTGGCTTCCTTCTCTTCTTTAAGCCTTTGCTAAAAGAAAGGAATGAAAATGTTACACTGAGCTTGCTGTTCTCAAATAGAGTCATCTTATAGCAATTTCACACAACTGGAATTTTCTTCAAGTCTTACGGATTCAGATAATAGATGGCTTAATGGTATCAGATTTTATGTACTATAGTCTATTTTAAAAAATAACATTATTTCTCTTATGAAAATAAGATGTTATTGTTTTAAAATTGCACAATATAGACAAACAAAAAGACATAAAAATTATCTGCCATCCAGAAATTATTACTGTTAACATTTTGTTCTAAGTCTTCACAAACTTATTTCTATGCACATAAAAGCATTTAACAGATATAAAAAAAAGATGAGATCCCCATTTTTGTAAAGATTTTCCTCAGCCATGAAAGTAATATTCTTATCTCTTATCATTGCCGTTTGTCTACAGATTCATATCTGGTCTTAAAATTGATTTCTGACTATCAGTGCTTGTGTTTTGACTATTAGTCATTAATTACAATAATAAGCACATTCAGTGTAACCAGTGTTTGCATTTAAAGCTCACCTTTCCATACTCTTTGCTCATACAAACATGTGCACACATGTATAACTATCTGTTCTTTCATCCTGCCATAAAGTTTCTTCATGCATTTCTGTTAACAAAGCATCAGATTTGTTCATAGTATAATGCAGATTATATTCCAGAGCCTATATAATAGCTACAAAATATTCAGTATGAGCATGCCATGATGTATTCAACCATTTTAACATCAGGTCAATTAAATGCACACATTACCTTTAATGAGAATCAATAGCTCATAGCAGGAGGAAAGGAAAGGTGGCCCCTCTGTAACCCTTCTTTTTTTTTTTTTTTTTTTTGGAGACAGGGTCTCCCAATAGCCTCAGCTGCCCTGGAATTCACTATGTAGACCAGGCTGTCCTCTATCTCACACAGATCCATCTGCCTCTGCCTTTTGGAAGCTGGGATTAAAGGCATATGCCACCATGCCAGGCTTATAACCCTTCTTTTGTTCAATAAACATTTATTAAACCCCCAATACATGCCATCACTGTAGCAGTAAACACTGCCTGGCAACCTCAAGAACGTGCATGGCTTGGCTGTGTAGAAAGGGAGGAACTATGACTGATGGCTGCTGGGAGAGGGAGAGTCAGTTGAGTCAGTTTTCTTTAAGAGTATGATGCTGGGTAGGTGGGCCAGGCTCCAGAGGATGAACCCACACTGAAGGGCTTTTGGAGATACAAATTAGGCTTGATAAGCTTTAATAATAATAACAATAATAGTAATACACATTAAATTTGGCAGGGAGTAGTAAGGAGGTACAGCAGATAGGGGAGGGAATCTAAATATAATCAAAATACATTGTATGAGGGCTGGAGAGATGGCTCAGCCATTAAGAACACTAGATGCTCTTGCAGAGGACCCCAGATTGATTCCAAGCACCCATATGGTGGCTAACAACTATCCACAACTCCAGTTCCAGGGAATCTGACCTCTATGGGCATTGCACAACACAAGTGTACTTAGATACATGTAGGCAATACACTCATACACATAAAATAAAAATAATATTTTTTTTATTTAAATAAGAGAGGCATAAGAAAGAACATCACCTTCTGGAAACACAAGGCAGCCAGAGAGGTTGAATAACAGACCAAGAAACATAACAGGAAATGAGAAAGAAGTTGGATCATAGAATATTTTACGGGCCATACCAGAAAGTTTAAACATTACCTAGAGTCCAGGAAGAATAACTGACGAGTTTCAAATCAAGAGAGACAGGCATTTAGTGCTCTCTGAGCACTGAAAGCTCCATTACCCTGCTGCAATGTAGAAAAAGGAATATAGTGATGCAGGCCCGGAGGAGGGCAGGTGGATCGTGGTAGCATCCCCTATCTCCAGGAATGCATCAGGAGGAGCAAGTTTGCAGCACTGTCTGCACTAGCTGGGCTTTTGGATTGTTGGGGATCCCTGCTGTCTAAGGTAGCAATCTCTCCATGTCCGGATAGCCGCAGGCTGGCTCGGCCGAATGCAGACTCCCTTTCTCAGCGGGGCGCCTTCCTGCCCTCTTCCTGACTCACCTTTTGAAGTGCCCGTCACAGATACATATCCTCCAGCATGAAACTGCCAGGTTTTTCCTGTGTGATAATCAGGCAATGTCTGACAGCTTCCACATGTAAATAAGGCATCCTAAAAGTACCTATCAGCTAAGGCTTTTACCACTACACCCACAGTATAAAGTATCCTGGTTTTCCCTCAATAATTGGAGCTGAATCACTAAGACCTGGAGCTGAGCTGAGTCACTGAATAAAGGAGCTCCTGGAGCGGAGCTGAATCACTAAGACCTGGAGCTGAGCTGAGTCACTGAATAAAGGAGCTGTACCTGACTGAGCTGTATCCTGTGTCTTACTGCCTACGATTCAGTCTCCCCGGAGGGGGCTGTCCCTTAGTAAACAACCACTCGGGAAGATCTTGCTTTCACCGTTCTTGCACCTCCCCTCGTGACCTGGTGGCCAACAGATCGCGAAACATAGAGGGAGTGCCCGGTAGCTTGGAATAGAACCCGCCCGGGCAGCTGACAGCGGCTGGCAGAGCCGCCAACTCCCGGTAGCCACGGAGAGCCAGGGACCTGCACAGCAGGGACCCAAACAGCAACGCGGTGCATGCAACCCGCCGCACACCAGCAGCGCGTGAGAGACCGGCGCCATGCCCAGCAGCTGGTGCTCCGAGATCCCCGCGTGCCCACATGGATGTGTTGGGTTCAGAGGCATATGGACACAAGAGACCACTGGTGACATAGCTCTAGCGTTCAAGGCAAAATCATCAGACATGGATATGCAAATATGCAGGCTCTCAATTCAGTACAACTGGCATTATGGGCCAGGCATTCTTATGAGGGGCAGCCCTCTACCAGAAGCTGCTCAGTAGCAGCCTGTTTCTCTACTTTAAAGATGTCAGACGCCCTCACCATGGACATAAGGGAATAAAGAATGTCTCCAGGCATTGCCAAACATCTCTTGTAGGACAAAACCACACTCCATCGAGGACTACCATAGACACAGAAATATAGACACACATTATCCCACATGTGCAAAACATCAATGAGACTACTGAAATAAAAGCTACAATAGAGGTGCTATCTGCTGGGATTCTGAGAGACAATCCCAAAACCTAAACCATGAGCAAGCAAGACGGCTCATTGGTTAAACACTGATGTTCAAGTCTGACAACCTGACCTAGATCCCCAGAACCCAGGAAAGGAGAAAATTAACTCCTGAAACCTCAACATGAGTGATGTGGCACACACATGCTCACATTCACATATATACATCATACACACAAAAAATAATTTTTAAAAACTAAGTTGGCATCCCTTTCATCCAACATCTTAGCTACTCAATAAATATTTATCAAATGGATAATTAAATCACAGTGCAGAAAAGAATTTGCAAGGAAGATGCAGAGATGAAAAGATGAGGAAGTTAAAACCTTGGGACAGGTATGCCAGGAGCAGGAAGGAGAACTACAGCGGGGGAGGCTATGGATGGCTGCACAGAGGTAAGGATGCTGGAGGTGGCAGGCCCCATTAACCATAGGTAGCAGCTGAAAACATGATCACTATAGATCATTCTGTGGGGACTGTGGTTGTAAAGCAGCTGCAGCATCCCACAACAGCTTTGTAAAAGGGAAATGGTGAAGCTTCCTGAGTCTGCCTCTAAGATAGTTTCAGGTTCAGGTTTTCCCTTGAGCAACCCAGCCAATGCCATGAGCCCCAGAACCATAAAGTTGAGCCCAGTCATCCACAGAACCAGGAGAGATGACTGTTGCTGCTTCAGACTCTCAAGTTCTGGTGTTGTCTGTAATGCAGTCATAGGCAATACAGTTACCCTATTAGAAATTTTTCATTGACTGGACAGAAAATGAGGGGGTAGATGCTTGAAAAAGGATGGTTGGGGGAAAAGAAATGTAAGGAGATGAATATAGCCTATTCTTTCCAGAAATTGACTCAAGGAAAGGAAATTGTACTACTGAGAGGAATTTAGAGTTAAGAAAGAATGTTTTAAGATGTAAAACACACAAAAGTAAAGAGGAAAAAACTGGGGATTTCAGAAGGAGGGAAAGATCATTAGCTAGGTATGGAGGTTCACACCAGTAATCCCAGCACTCAAGAGAATGGGACAGGATGATTACCAAGATTGAAGCCAGCCTGGGCTATATAGACAGACCTTATCAAAAGAAATGGAAGGAAGGGAGGGAGGAAAGGAGAGAGGGAGGGAGGGAGGAATGGAGGGAGGAACGGAGGGAGGAATGGAGGGAAGAAAGAAGGGAAGAAGGAAGTGTGAGTGGGTCAGTGCTATAGCTGTGCAGTTGACACGCATTTCTCCTAACCCTCAGGACTGCCTAAGAGACAATTTAGCTGAGGAAGAGGGTGGAGATTAGGGTTGAAAAAATAATCAATCTACCAATATTCTTGCCACTTTTCTAAAAAGGTCCTGACATAAAATATATTTTCCCTAAACGTTGAACAGAAGACCATGTAAGTATGTTTTCAAATGTCACTGAAACCAAGAAGATGCCATTTTCAACTATTTTTCTACCCTTCTGGAAGGGAGAAATAAAACACTTTTCTGAAAGTGATATCTCTGAGTCTGTAGTAAATATCTTTAACAGCTTGAGAGCTCGGGGGTCAACCAGCAACAGAACAGGAAGCCAATGCTCAGTAGCCAGTGTAAGAGTGAAACCACGGAGGACAAGTCACGGCCTTTGGGTTGCAACAGCAAGAGGTTTATTCAGGACACAGGTACCTGTGGGCACAAAGTCTCCTCGGAGGACTTGCGCACCCCAGGTTGAGTTCAGGGGGTTTTTATAAGGCAGAAGCAGGGTACAGAAGCAGAAACGCGGTTATTGGTTAATTTCAAACACACATAGTAATTTTACCAGTAATTTCAAAGGTATGCAGAGATATGGGGTAAGGGCCAGGGCTGAGGGGAAGTGGGATTGCTAAATG